ACTTTGTTTTTGTTTTTCAATACTGTTTTAACTATTCAGGGGCCCTGGCACTTTCATATGAATGTGAGGATTGGTTTTTCCATTTTGCCCAAAAGGCTATTTGAATTTTCGTGGGGATTGCATTGAATCTGGACTGATTTCAGATTGCCATCCTAACAATATTAAGTGTTCCAATCCATGAACATGGGATGTCTTTCCATTTATTTAGGTCTTTAATTTCTTTCTGCAATGTTTATATTATAGTTTCCAGTATACAAGTCTTTTACCACTTTGGTTAAATTTATTTGGGGGTATTTTCTTCCTTTTGATGCTATTAAAAATAAAATTATTTCATTTCTTTTTTGGATTGTTCATTAGTGATGTGTTGATCCTGCAACTGTGCTGACTTTATTAACTCTAGTAGCTTTTTTGTTGATTTTATGGAAAAGTCTATATGCAAAATCATGTTGTCTGTAAATAAACATAGTTTTGCTTCTTTCTTTTCCATTTGGATGCCTTTTTTTTTTTCCTGCCAAATTGCTCAGGCAAGGATTTCCAGTATAATGTTGAATAGTAGTGATGAAAGCAGGAATTCTTGTCTTGCTCCTTAGGAGGAAAGCTTTCAGTCTTTCACCGTTAAAGAAGTTCTGTTCCTAATTTGATGAATTGTTTTAATCATGAAAGGGTGTTGAGATGATTTTTTTCCCCCTTAATGATTGACTTTGTTATGTTGAATAACTTTTGCATTTCTGGGAGAAATCCTACTTGACCATGGTGTATAATCTTTTTAATGTCTTGTGGGATTTGGTTTGTTAGTATTTAGTTGAAGGTGTTTACATCTATATTCAAAAGGGATATTAGTCTATAGTTCTCTTATGACATTTTTAATGGACTTTGGTGTCAGGATAATGCTGACCTTATAGAATATGTTAGGAAGTATTCCTTCCTCTTATGTTCTTCGGAAGATTTTGAATAGAATTGACGTTAATTCTTTAAATATTTGGTAGAATTTACCAGTGAAGCTGTCTGGTGTAGGGCATTTCTTTGATGGAAGGGTTTTGATTTCTGATTTAATCTGTTACTTGTTATATATAGGTTGAGATTTTTGTTTTTGAGCCAGCTTTGATAATTCATGGAATTTGTCTATTTTACCTAGATTATGTAATTTGCTGTGGTACAATTGTTCTTGTAATTCTTTTATAATACTTTTAATTTCTGTAAGGTCAGCAGTTATATCCTTGCCTTTGTTTCTGATTTTAGTTATTTGTCTCTTCTTTTTTTCTTAGTAATCTAGCTAAAAGTTTGTCAGTTTTGTTAATATTTTCTTTGATTCATGGATTCTATTATTTTCTATTCTCTTTTATTCTTTTCTAATCTTCATTGGTTTCTTCCTTCTGCTGGCTTTGTATTTCATTTGCTCTTTATCTTTTTTCTTGAGGTGTAAGATCTTTCTTTTTTAATGTAGGCATTTATAGCTATACATTTCCCTCTGAATACTGCTTTTCCTGCATCTCATAAATTTTGTTTTCTTTGTTTTCAGTCATTTTTTTAACTTTTAATTTTTTTATTTTAAAGATGTGGGGTACAATTCAGGGTTAGGTATACAAATGTTCATTATGCAGGTACCCTTGTTGATGATGTGTGCCCCCCCACCCCGCAGATTCCTACTACCGCCAATCCTGCCTCCCCGCCGCACCCCTCCCCACTGCACCTCTGCAGTTTCCTGCTACTGCCAATCTTTTTCTTATAGTATTACTATAGTTGTTCAAGGTCCAGGTCCGCTTATGTGTGAGTGCATGTTATACTCATATCTTTATTTCTGTGAAAGATCACTCAGTATTATAGACTCTAAGTCCATCCAGGTTGCTGTGAAGTTCATGATTTTGTTCTTCTTTATGGCTGCATAATATTCCATCATGTATATGTACCACGTTTGTTAAATCCAGTCCGCTTTTGAAGGGCAGCACGGTTGGTTCCATCTTCTTGTGTTTTCAGTCATTTTAAAGTATTTTCTAATTTCTCTAGTGATTTCTTCTTTAAATGGCTGGCTTTTTAAAGGGTATATTGTTTAGTTCTAGGTATTTTTGAATTTTCCATTTTTCCTCTGTATTGATTTCTAGCTTCATTCCATTGTGGCTCCAGAAAATAGTTTGTATAACTTAAATATTTTTAAGTTACAGATAATTGTTTTGTGGACTAACATATAATCTATCCTGGAAAATGTTCCATGTGTACTTGTGAAGAATCTGTATTCTGCTATCATTGAGTGGAGTGTTTTGCATACGTCTGTTAGGTCTAGTTGGTTTTACAGTATTGTTCAAGCCCTCTTTCCTTATTGATTTTCTTTCTACATGTCTATCCATTATGAAAGGTGGGGCAATAAGGTCTCCAACTTTTAGTGTAGAAGGGCTGTTTCTACCTTCAGTTCTTTCAAGATTTGCTTCATATATTTTTTGGTCCTGTTGTCTGGTGCATATATGTATATATGTTTATACTTGTTATATCTTCTTAATGAATTGAAACTTAATATAAAATATCTCTCTTTGTCTCAAAATCAGTCTGTCAATGCAAGATTAGAAATACATGAAATTGATTATTTTTTCCTTTAAATTGTCATACAATTATTTTAAAGCCTACAGTGCTTTACTTTTACAGATTTTTATTCCATTTTAAAAGTCCCTTCCATAATATTTCACAAAAGTGATATTTATTACGGAGAGGACTTGGCAGTCAGAAGGACGTCAGAGTTGCAGAACGTTCTGTGGATGTTCCCAACTTGTCTGTCGTTCACCATTGTGGCTCAGTTTTCTTTTGCTTTCAGTTTTCTAGTCATCCTTGAGGATCAGTACCTAATCCCAGCAAAGAAAAATATTCAAAAAGTCCCTATGACTTCTGATGAGGAAAAGAGAAATTTTGCTAAAAATAGCTGAGCGATTACAGTAAATTTTAAATAAAAGCTTAGTTGTATATTGGAAAAATTAGAAAAAATTCAAAATCAAAAAAATGTTATTAATATGATTGAACAAAATGTTTGTTTCTAAAAATGTGTTGACTATGTCAGAAAAAAGGTTGCATAAGGTAAATTGTGTGAACGTTCATGTTTTTACCTTTATTTGATAATGTGAAAAAGAATATGTACTTCTATAACGCATCCTTTTCTAAAAGATAATCGAATTTCATATTATAGTTATTTCCAGAAAGGATAAAATATGATGAATAATCTACAAATCTATAATCTATAAAATTCCATGATCAAATATTTAGTTTTTAAATAATATTTTTTTTTATCAGGCTTTGATTGCAGTAATAAGGAAACACTAAACAGCCATTTGTCCCACACCAGTAATTCTAGCACTTTGGGGGCCAAGGTGGGAAGATCACTTGAGGCCAGGAGTTTGAGACCAGCCCAAGCAACTAAGTGAGGCCTTATCTCTACAAAAAAATCAGCGAGGTGCATGGCGCTCACCTGTAGGCCTAGCTACTTGGGAGGCTGAGGTGGAAGGCCCGCCTCAGCCTTGTCAAAGCAGCAATAAGCCGTGATTGTGCCACTTCACTCCAGCCTGGGTGACAGAGTGAAACCCTAACTCAGAAAAAAAATAAACAGTCATTGTTGCCTCCCATATGTCTTTATGCTCATGTGTCATTTGTAAATGGAGTTATTGGACATTTAATGCTTTTCCTCCCCTCAGGGAAAGTCTATACCACACAGAACAGAAAATAGGTTTGCTGATGGTTTTATTTACCTATTGTATGCAGTGTTCCAGACAGGATTTGAAACTTCCATTATTGAGTTAGTCTGATTTTATTACCAGTCAATTCAGTGAAGAAAGGCTAATCAAATCACATGCTGTCTTGATAAAACAACTAATTTGATTTTTTTTTTCAGTTCCACTTCATGTATCTTGTAGGAGGTCATACTATTTGCAAACATGTTCTGACTTGGGTCTGTGTATACTTTAAGAGGAACTGAATTGTGACTACCTCAGGATTGTTTGGTCCAGCTGTATCACTTACTGAACACAGAACAGATGCCAGATACTGTTCTGGATTTGGTCTTCAGAAACAGGTCAGGAACCTCTAAGGATGTATTTCAGTGAAACAATGTCACCTTTATTCACAAAATTATGTCTCCTAGATTTCCTGTGTGGTATGGTGTGTCTCAAACTTTTTCCCTCAATATATTGTACCCTATACTGTGTAGCAGCTTCACATGTATAAATGATTATTTGTTTACAATGATTACACCTTTGTTAGAGTACGGTTTCCAAGAGGGCACGTCCATCTTATTCTTTACTGTATCCCCAGATCTTAATAATGACTGGTGCTTAGCAAGCATTTAACGCATGTTTATAATATGAAAGAATTTGTGAGGTTATCTCCCATGGCTACTGTGAGTCAACATATGCCTTTTGAGGTATGTGTCTCCTAACAATCAGAAGCTATCTTTTAATATCTTTGTTTTATTTACTTTTAAAATTCATTTGACTTAAATTCTTATCTGTTTCTTTTCCCGTGTGTTTTGTTATTCTTAAGAAAAATTGATACTTCGGGGATATGTCATGGTTTTACAGATTCAGCTGTTGGTATGAGTGTGTTTTCAACAGAGAACTCTGTTGAAAATCTGCCTTGATTTTTAGTAAATATTTTAAACTTGAGTTCACATCTGAAAAATGAGACTGAGAATGTTTACCTGGAAGGTTCTGGTTGTTGTTGAAGAGAGTAAAATGAAATGTACTTATAGTGCTTGGCATACATGATATGCACTCAAATATTGGCTCCCTTTTTCCTACTTACTAGAAAGCTTCTAGTTTCCCATTTAAGAACCTCAGTTAATACCTTGTTTTTTCAGTTAAGTATTTACCAATAACTGTCAACTAAGGACTGAAAGTTTTCTCAATCTCTGAGCCAGGATTATAGCTGTTTATCTGGGGGACAGAATTCTTATACGGAGTGTAATGAATACCTCATAGATGAAATTTTCTGGCCAAAAATTTTAACCAATGTCAACAATCCACAAAGGAAGATTAAATTGGATGAACTTTTATTACTACTTGTTTAACACATGTTTACCTATCTTAGACAAGTAAGAATTTATAGAATCTGTGCTTTATTGCACCAGGTGGACACTAGAAATGCAGTTACACTGATAGAGTGCAATCTATGTGAAATCAGGGATGGTGTTCTCCGGAATGCATGAAGGTCCTCAGGGATTGTTGCAAGGAATCACAAAAGAAATCTTTGGTCCAAAGAAGGCATCTCTGAAAGAAAGTAGAACATCAACTAAATTCAGTTGAAAGCTAAGATATTCGTTAGTCTTTTCTGAGTTAAAAATGGACAGTGACTTCCAGGATTTCAGATATGACTATTCTTTTTAGGTGATTAAAGTACAAAGCGGTGAGTGGGAGGACTTGCCACAGGAATGCAAAGGCCAAGAAGGTAATTCATTCTTCTGTTTTCTCCCAGTTTGCCATTGATCTGATACTATCATTTATCTGTCAAGAAAAGGACTGAAATTATGCATCAAATTTTGTTTTTTCTGAAGTGGGGATAGGCCATAAAGTTTAAATCTGTAGGTAAGGAACAGAAGATTAAAAATATATTTTTCAAGTCTGGATGTGATGGCTCACACCTGTAATCCCAACATTTTGGGAGGCAGAAACGAGAGAATTGCCTGAGCCCAGGGGTTTCAGACCCGCCTGGGCAACTTGGCGAGACCTCATCTCTCCAATAAATTAAAAAATTAGGCATGGTGGCACGTATCTGTGGTCCCAGCTACTGGGAAGGCTGAGACAGAAGGATCACCTTAGCCCAGCAGGTTGAGGCTGTGGTGGCTGTGACCATGCCACTGCACTCCAGCCTGGGCAACAGAGTGAGACATACATACATACATATTTTTCAAATAAATTTCTAGGTTTTATAGGGAAAGGAGAAATGTTTGTTTAAAAAGATCACGTAAGGTAATGCATAAAAATGCATGGTATAATACAAAATTGTATATGTGTTCAAGGCGGTATTATGATTATGGCCTATTAGAAATACAATTAGTAAGGGCAAGGTGAATCTGTTGCTGCAGGGAGAACAATATCTCAGAATCAAGGGGACGTTACATCTGTCTACACTGCTGTTCTCATCCATTAACACAGTCACAAAATTATAGAATACTTATGCCCATTACAGTATATTACTTTCAAGTCATACAATAACAAAAAAGCAAGTATTACAGTAGTTGAATATTAGTTGGCATTTCATTTATGTAGTCCAGGAAAAATAAAGTCATTGCATGGGATTAATTATCTCAAGTTCTTGGTATCATCATTTGGTACAGTGATTCTCACACTTTGTCATGAATTAGAATCACCTGGAGGGTTTGTTAAAATGTAATTACTGGGACTTCCTTTCAGATTTTCTGATTCGGTGGGTCTGAGGCTGGGATCCAAGGAAGGATATGCAATTTTAACAAAACCTCAGGTATTGCAGAAGTGGCTGTTCTGGGAACCACACTTTGAGAATCAGCCGGCTTGGTAAACAAAAAACTTATCCAAACCAGAACATCTGGGTTCTAGTCCAGTGCTGATATTAACTAGTTATGTGGGATAGAGCTGGTCATTTCAATTCTTGCCCCTTTCTTTGGTAAGATGGTTATATCTGTCTTTTCTGCTTCATGGATCTTTTGGAAGAATGAAAATATGATGATACATGTTGAAAGTAATTTGAAAAAGCTAATTTCAGTATGAAATGTCCAAGATCATAGAACTTGGGAGATTCCTCAATAACTAGAGGAAGGTGATTTTAAAATTAAAAGCTAAACATATTTATTAATTAACTTATTTATCTACCATTGTTTTATACTTAATAATTTTGAGCCAGGCTCGGTGGCTCAGCCTGTAATCCCGCGCCTTTGGGAGGCTGAGGTGAGTGGATTGCCTGAGCCCGCAGGTTCGAGACCCGCCTGGGCAGGCGAGGCCTCATCTCTACAATAAAAAATCAAAAAATTAGCCAGGTGTGGTAGCGCGCGCCTGTAATTCCGGCTACTCGAAAGGCTGAGGCAGAAGGATCGCCGGAGCCCAGCAGGTCGAAGCTGCGGTGGCCGGGAGCGGCCTCTGCACTCCAGTCTGGGCAACGGAGTGAGACTCCAACTCAAAAAAAAAAAAGTAAATAATTTTGAACTGTAGTTTATTTCTGGGTAACTCACATAGAACTACAGAATTTTTCTTTGGCAATTACTAAACTTTTCTGTCCAGTTAATTACTTGATCTAATTCCCTAGGATCTTTTATTTAAAACAATTTACTGGTTTTCAAATTGGTTTAAGACAGCAACCTTGAGGTTGACTTCTACTATTGGTAGACTTTTTTTGTGGTAAAAATCAGATGAGGAATTTAGAACTTAATAGATGGAAGAATTATTCACTTTCTGGATTTCATTTACTTTTATTAATCCCTGCCAAACTCTGGAAGTATGCTTAAATGAAAAAAATTCAGTTTTCTATACAATGGTGATGATGATAGAAAATAGCTCAGAATTGAATGGAATTTTACTAAGGGTGATTTTCAGCAACCCACTATAAAGATGTCTTTGGAAATGTTCTGCATATGAGAAGGGACCCAAAAAACCCCAGAATTTATTTATAAAAATGTGTGTATTCTTGCTACATTTCGGTCACCTCCAAAGTACTCTCTGATGCAATATACCTGTCTAGACACTTTTTCCACTGCTCAAAACAGTGTGTGAACTCATCAGTTTTGATGCCTTTTAGTGCTTCTGCCATGTTTCTGTTTCACCTTATCCACATCAGCAAAATGTTTCCCTTTGAGGACTAGTTTCATCTGGGGAAATGAAAAAAGTCACTTGGGGTGAGATCAGGTGAACAGAAAGAGTGGGATGGGCACGAGATCATGTCATTTTTTGGTCAAAAACTGATGAACACTCCACATGGTGTGGGCAGGGGCGCTCTCACTCACTCATCATGAATTGGGCACAAGCGTTGAAAGAATCTCAAAAAAAAAAAATTCACTGAAGCCAAATGCAACCTCTCACAACAATGCTTGCGGGTACACTGATGGTGATGGGCTCCTGGAACACTTATGGGGAACCCAGGACTACAAGGGGTCCACCCTCCAAAAGACAGTTCTGGTTGTTTTTGGGTCCCCCCCCCTTGTACCTTTCAGAATAAAACATTTGACGATTTCATTTCCTTACTTTGGGCAGCAGAGCAATTCACTGAAATTGCAGTAACAGATCATCTCACATCCCTTCCCATCCCAGAAGTGATCCTGGAAATTCACATCAATCTGTGTCAAGTCAGCTATTCCTTCTGGAAGGCTGTGACAGTTGCGATCTTTTAGTATCTTTCTGTAGCAAGAGAGGCGATTTGCAGGCATGGCTTGGACGCTTAGCAGCAAAGTTAGCCCGACGATGACAGCAAGTACCATGAATTTCATTCTGGCTTTAGGCTCTGAGGTAGAAGAAAACCCAAAACGTGTCAGTGTTTATTTTAAAAGGTAGAATTCATCTGAATATAATGTTCTGTAGCATGCTCATAAAACTTGGGTAGAAAGAATGGGTGTTGGTCTCTTTTTTTTGAGTAGGAGTCTCACTCTGTCACCTAGACTGGGGTGCAGTGACACGATTACGGCCACCACAGCCTTGGCCTGCTAGGCTCAGGTGATCCTTCCACCTCAGCCTTCCAAGTAGCTAGACATACAGGCACGTGCCACCATGCCCACCTAAGGTTTTGTTGTTGGTGTTGTTTTACTTGTAGAGATAAGGTCTCACTAAGTTGCCCAGGTAGGTCTTGAAGCCCTGGACTCAGGCAATCCTCTCACCTCTGTCTCCCAAAATGCTTAAAATTATAGGCATGAGCCACCGTGCCTGGCCAGGTGTTGATCTTTTTTGTACTCCTCTTGGTATTTCTCAAAGTGTAGTGGTTTTTTGTTTGTTTATTTTTTGTTTTTTGAGTTGGAGTCTCACTCTGTCACCCAGGCTGGAGTGCAGTGGCACACTCACGGCCACCCCAGCTTCAACCTGCTGGGCTCCGGGGATCCTTTCGCCTCAGCCTTTCAAGTAGCTGGAACTACAGGCACATGCTACCATGTCCAGCTAATCATTTATTTATTTATTATAGAGACAAGGTCTCACCAAGTTGCCTGGGCTGGTCTTGAACCCACCGAACCTGACACCAAAGTGTAGTTTTATGACCATCTACAGTAAAAATAACGTAGAATATTTGTTAAAAATTAAATGCCTAGACTCCACAAAAAATATTGAATGAGAAGTGTTGGGGGGGGGAAGAGGAAGTGGTGAGAGGCAGAATCTGCAGTTAATAAGTACCAAAGTCACATATTTTTTGTACTTGCAGTAGAGAACAACTGCTCGTTAAGGTGGCATAAACTCAGTTAACTTTCTAGAACAAACAGCATCAATGAATACCGTGGTTCTTTATCTTGTATTATTATCTTCCATTCTAAAAACAACATTGTCAAGGAAACCAGGTCCCTCCCTGACAGAAACAAAAAGCCCGTTTATGCTAACATTGACAGATGGTGTTCTACAGATATATTGATAGTTTGGTGAAATGTTTTTAAGCTTCCAGAATTATTTTTGGACCCATTCCTGTTGCAAATGTTCAGTAATGTTTTGAATTTTTATCTCACATAGACTACTTCATTTTAGCTGCAGTTCAAAATGGAGCTTGAATTCCCTCCTTATATTATCTAGCCTGTCCTTGAACACCGACCATGATGGAGAACTCATTACAGACGAAGTTCACATATTCCAGTTATATTTCACTCACTGCAAATATGTATTTTTCTGTAGTTTCCACCCACCAGTCCTAGTTTGAACTTTTGGGGTCACTCCAACAAACCTCATCTTTCTAACAGGAGATAATTCTTCAAGTGCAGTATTTGCATACAATTATGAAGTATTCATCATCTAACTAATCAGACTTCTCTTAGATGTGAAGAAAATGGGAGCTATAGTCATAAAGGAAGTAGCTAGATAGTGGAGAAACCAGAATTAAAATCTATAACCATTCATTTTTTTAATCTAGTTGCTAGGTGCCAAAGTATCCTTCCTACTTTGAAAGAGGAAAGAACAAGGCCAGGTGCAGTGGCTCAAGCATGTAATCCTAGCACTTTGGGAGGCTGAGGTGAGAGGATTGCCTGCATTCAAAGGTTCGAGACCAACCTGGGCAGCTTGGGGAGACCTTGTCTCTACAATAAATAAAAAATTAGCTGGGCATGGTAGTGCATGCCTATAGTTCCAGCTACTTGGAAGGCTAAGGTGGAAGGATTGTCTAAGCCCAGCAGGTCGAGGCTGCGGTGACTGTGAGTGTGCCATTGTACTCTAGCTTGGGTGACAGAGTGAGACTCAGACTCAAAAAAAAGAAAGAAAGAAAGAGGGAAGGACATATGATGGATATTTCTGTTAGCATGTTGTACTTAAAAACTTTTTTTTTTCTTTTTGGTGGAGACAGAGTCTCATTATGTTGCCCAAGATGGCCTTAAACTCCTGGCCTCCAGTGATACTCCTACCTCAACCTCCCAAAGTGCTGGAACTATAGGCATAAACTTTTGTGCCCAGCCTGTACACTGTGCTCTGAAAGGAAACAATATTTTTGAAAAGACCTTTAATATGAGGTTTTTCAGTGATTAGATACATTTTAAAGGTGAATCATTTTAGGTAAGATAATGGATTTTTAAATAAACACACTCATTTTTTGTTTGTTTGTTTGTTTAGAGACTAAAAATATTTCTTCTAAGAGTTTCAGATTTTCTTGATTTCACATTCTAATTTGTGTTAGTCATTTTTGGCATTGCTTACTTGTTTTCTTAGAATTATAAATATCCAATTTAATTCCTACCTCCAAACACTAGTGAAAGAAAGGACAAACATGAGATCTATTTCATTTTATATATTTTCAGATTTAATGGAGCAAGACATGGCAGTGTTACAGTGCACCACAATCTAGCATATATATAGTAATGTGTTCCAATAGGTTTTCTGCAGACCATAGTTTAAGTTTCATATTTTATAAAATAGAGGGCTCTGAGGTGCTCTCGCTTTCAAATTACTTCAGATTAGGGCCTTCTTTAATACTCTTTAAGATATACGATGTTAAAAACCACATTTGCTGACATTATTTTCAGGTTAGTCTTCAAAGTGAGTAATTAAAGTTACTGTTAATTGAGCATTTACTGTGTGGTAGAAATTACCACAACCATTAAGGTTTAAAAATTACTAGGATACAGGCAAAGTTTTTTTAAAGTGGATTTTTTTGAGGTAAAATAGACTTACAATACATTGAAAATATTTAAAGTATATAGTTCAATAAGTTTTGGCATATGTATATTTCTGTGAAACCATCACAACAATCAATATTATGAGCATGTCTGTCATTCCTACATTTCTTCATACCACTTTGTAATCATTCTTCTTACCCCTCTCCGTCCCCCATTCCAATCCAAGGACTCATCTGCCTTCTGTCACTATAGACTAATTTGCTTATTCTAGCATTTTATATACATGGAATCATGAAATATGTACCCTCCTTATCTGGATATTTTTACTCAGCATACTACCTTTGAGGTTTATATACGTTGTTGCAGATATCAATAGCTGATTCCCTTTTATTATTAAGAAGTGCTCCATTCCATTGTCCATACTATAAATTGTTTATCCAATGATGAATATGTGGGTTATTTTCAGTTTGGGGCTATTATCAAGTAAAATTTTATTAACACTGTGTATAAGTCTTTATAAGATCATGGCTGCTGTTACTCTTGAGCAAAGTCTTCTAACACAGGAACACTGGACACTTTTTCCATTTTTTTGTCTTTGTTAATTTTTTCATTAATGTTTTCTAGTTTTTAATTGTACAAGCCTTTGATGTCCTTAATTAAGTATATTTCTATTATATTCTTTTTGATGCTATTGTAAATGGAATTGTTTCCTAATTTTCTTTTGAGGTAGTTTGCTGTTAATGTATAGAAACATATGCAACTTGTATTTTTTACTTTACTGAATTTGTTTATTAGTTTCAACAATTTTTTTGTCCCATCTTTAAGGTTTTTTATGTATAAAATCATGTCATCTGCAAACAAAAACTATTTTACTACTTTACTTCTTCCTTGCCAATTTGGGTGCCTTTTGTTTCTTTGACTTATCTAATTGGTCTGGCTAGGATACCCACTACTTGGTTGAATAGAAGTGGCAAGAGTGGACAGCTTGTTTCTGTCATAGCAGAAAAGCTTTCCATTTTTCACTGTGGAATATGATGGAGGCTTGTCATATATGGCCTTTGTTATGTTGAGGTAAATTTTTTTCCATGCCTAATTTGTTGAGAGTTCTTATCATAAAACATGTTGAATTTTGCCAAATGCTTTTTTGGCATCTATTGAGATAATCATATGATTTTTATCCTTCATTATTTTAATGTGGTATAACATTAATTGATTTGTATATGTTGAACCATCCTTGCATTTCAGGGATAAATTCCATTTGGTCATGATATATAATCCTTTTAATGTGCTATGTTTTTTGTTTGTTTGTTTTTGAGTCAGGGTCTCACTATGGAGTGCATAATCATGACTCACTGTAGCCTTGAACTCCTGGGCTCAAGTGATCCTCCCACCTCAGCTTCCTGAGTAGCTAGGACTACAGGCACATGCTGCCATGCCCAGCTAATTTTTAAGGTTTTTTTGTAGGAATGAGGTCTCGCTATATTGCCCAAGCTGGTCTCAAACTCCTGGCCTCAAGTGATCCTCCTGCCTCAGCCTCCCAAAGTACTGATAACAGGCATGAGGCCACTGTACCTGCCTTAATGTGCTATTGAATTTGGTTTGCTAATATTTTATTGAAAATTTTTGCACCTGTCTTTGTTAAGGTTATTGGCCTATAGTTTGTTTACTTATTTGTTTTTCGTTTGCTTGTCTTTTTCTGGCTTAGTATCAGAGTAATGCTGGCCTCCTAAAATGAGCTTGGAAGTTTTCTCTCCTCTTCAATTTTTGGAAGAGTTTAAGAAAGTTTTATATTAATTATTTAAGTGTTTGGCAGAATTCTCCAGTGAGGCTTTTCTTTGTAGGAGATTTTAAATTGCTGATTTAATCTCCTTACTGGTCATATGTATGTCCAAATTTTCTAGTTCTCCATGATTTAGTCTTGGTAAGCTGTATGTTTACGGGATGTATCTGTTTCTTTTAGCTTATCCAGTTTGTTGGCATGTAATTGTCCATAGTAGTTCATATGATCCTTTTATTTTTGCAACATTGCTTGCAATATTTTCTCATTTCTGTTTTTATTTGCTTGATTCCTTTCTTTTTACTTTGTTAGTCTAGCTAAAAGTTTGCCAATTTTGTTTATCTTTTCAAAACACCAGATCATCGTTTTGTTGATTTTCATATTGCTTTTTTCTTCTCTACTTTATTTCTGCTATAATATTTATTATTTTATTCC